CAATTCATATATACAACACTAAATTACAAACATGCATCTATGCAATAAAATGTAGCCTAATTAAAAAGAAATTGGTTGATCAACACTATGTTATTAAAGATATACAACTTGCAAACTTGTACTTTTTTCTTTAGAAAACCGAGAGATACATATGGAATTGAAATGAATGCCATATGCAAGAAAGAAAGACCCCATAATAGTATAATGGTATTAAATTTCTTAAATAATTTAAAAAGAAGTTAATTGTTATTTTATAATATATTTATTAATTAAAAATAAATATCATATCGAGCTGGGTTTAGGGATCCCCGATCTCATCCCTGATTTTCCCCCAAACTATCCCCTTGTTAGGGCCGGGGACCCACCACGATGGGAATTTCTGCCATCCTTACTAAGAATAGCTCATACTAAAAAAGAAAAGCCTTCTATGGTTAAAAGTTTTCTGTTACACATATTGATTAATTCATCGTGCCATTATTTGCACATTTTATTGATTGAAATTTTCCTTGAATTTATGCCCAAGTTCCATTTTGATTCTCCAACTTATCTTTTCACCCCAATAGTAACTCTCTCTTTCATTTCAAATTGGTCATAATATAACATTTTCCACCACGCATGCTCCGCTGACCACTCCTCCCTCTATGCACCCTTGCACCAATAGAATTTGACGATAGGACTTATTTGACACGAAAGAGAGAGTTAAAGGATTATTGGGATGAAAAAAATTAGTTGGACGACCATTTTGGTCAAAATGACGAAATTTTGATTTGGATGAAGAAATTGAAAATTACATAGAATTCTAAAGTGACGGAATTTTGAATTCCATCATTTCAATTTCTGGCAATTTAAGATTTCAGTTTTTGGCAACTGAAGATTTCAGTTTGTGGATTTATGTACTTCAAATTTTGTAAATGCCACTATGGAAATTGTGAAATGACGCCTATTTTGATGGAAATTAAACTTGGGAATTCGATGCTCCAATTTCCACAATTTTTTCCGCGTGTCATTTAATAAATTCCGCGTTTAACTTGCCAAATAAGAGAATTGTCAATTTCTCCTATTAAATTCCCAACTTTTATCTAAATTCTAAGTTGTTTTCTCTCATCCAAACGGAGGGTAACTTTCAATTACGTTATTCATATTTTAGTTCAAATTGAAGGTTTTAGCCCTAAAATTAACGATTATTGATAGAATCTGACATAATGATAGATTTGTAATAATTTAATTGAAAAAATCAAAATAAAACTAGACATAAGTTCATGAACCATTTCGATCAAAATCCCTTCAAAATATCAAGAGTGTTGTTAAACAAACACTAAAATTAATTAAGTACACCCTATGATCTAAGTACACTATAATATTTTAATCAAAATGTAAAATTAACTAAGTACACCCTATTTAACTACCAAAAATACCCCTGGTACACCCTAGTACACTCTATCACACAACCCCCTCATACCAATCTTATAGCAGACTTCTCTTTTTACATGAATTTGTACCCTCTTTTCAAATTTTGAGTTTGCATCAAAATCTTTAATTTCTTAAGCTCTTGTGGGAGTAGATTTAATAGGGCAATCTCATCGTAGTATGGGGGAAATAAAAACAAAGAAAAGGTTTCAATGTCCATGCAAAGATTCTATATGCAATTTTTGTATAAATCATCCCAATATTTTCTATTTTTTTGGGGAATTGGAATTAATTCAGTAGGAGATTTTGGTCAATTCCACCATTTGAGTAGGTGATAGTTTTGTACTCAGTTAATTTTAGGGTTTGTTTAGCAACACTCAATATCAAACAATCTAACGAATGGATTTGTCAAATGCAATATCCAAACTAAGGGTGGTTGCAGTTCGGTTACCACAACTTTTCAATGATACCGTGAACTAACCGACATATTGTGGTATGGTAAAAATATGAATCAGTAATTGACCGACATATTGTTGTATACCGCAATTGTCGATATATTGTGATTGTTGTACAGCAATTTTCGGTATATTGCAGTCGTAAAAAGAAAAAGAAGAAGAAAAAAAAGAAGAGATGAGAGAAAGATTTATCTAAATAATGAAGTCTGGGCCTCTGTTAGTTAATATAAAATAATTATAAGTATTTATTTTATGTTGTAAATGCATGAGTTGGTGGATGACCACCATACCTCTTAGCATCACCATATCTAATTCTATGTAACCTATACACTAAATACCATAGTTATGGGCTTGTAACTTATGAGTTGTTAATGTTTTCTTACCATTGTAAGCCTATAAATAAGAGGTCTTATCTAGATGAGATATACAAGTTGATTGAACAATTTCTATTGTCTTTCTTTACTTTCCAATTCTCTACAATTTTTCCCTTAGTTATATAACACGTTATCATCACGAATTCTCTTTCAAAATCCAGTTGAGTGCCCCGATCAAATCCCTCTACTTTACTCATTCTCTACTTGAGGTTTTCTGGGCAATTGTGTTTTCATGATTTCCTTGTGTGTAAATACAAACTCCCTTTGGTAGCATACTATGTTTATAGAACACAAACTAACCCGAGAAGAAAATTGAAGATCATTCTAAGAGACACAAATCCAAAACAAAGACCGGTCTTCACCAAAAGAAACCAACTGAGGTGTTAAGCTTCTTGGCGTTCAGAGTGGGATATGAACACCCACGAAACAAAGAGATAAGCCTTCTGACTTTCACTGTATCTTCTTCAATTTATTATTATCACCATCATATCTATACTCATGCTAACATCTAAAGCAAGTATAGATGTGTTGGAACTTGTTCTTGTGTGGCAGGTGCAAAAGTAGGATATGGTCAATCCTCCACAAGTAGACCATTTTAATATATTGATCATGGTTTTTGTCGGTTTCACTTTCACATGGCTCCATTTTACATCGGTATATATAATATTAATATGGAAAGTTGATGGTAATACAATATGATATATATATGTGGTACTTTATGTATATATACCTATATATATGTATAAGTAAATAAAACTATGACTGCCAGAAGCTATTTATGTCCATTTATTATATATTCATGGTTCACATTTATATGAGAATATGATAGTGGTTACACTCCATGTTTGTTATGATGGAGTTGGAAAAACTAAAGGAATTAAGACCCGAAGATCTTGATCTTCAATTATAAAGGGCTTGAAGACCCTAAATTTTATACAATTAAATGAAAAAGCCTGAAGATCCTAAATTTCTATACATCTAAAAGGAGTGACAAACATACATCCTCCAATGATAATATAGAAGAAATTTTTATACAAGCATTACCAAAGCTCACTCTGCAAGAGGAAATTGAGATATCAATATCATTTGTGTTGCATCTTCAAATAATTCAAGTTTGTCGTCATCAGGGGGAGTAATTCATCAAGGAGAGAATTATATGAGCATTGTACTCTTTTCCCTTCGACTAGGATTTTGTCCCACTGGGTTTTTCCTAGCAAGGTTTTAATGAGGCAGCATAAGCGCATCCAACACCATATCAATGATCCATAAGAATGTTGCACTCTTTTTCCCTTTGCTTAGGTTTTGTCTCACAGGGTTTTCCGAGCAAAGTTTTTATTGAGGCAACTATGTCATTGTATGGTAGACATCCAAAGAGGAGTGTTGTAAATGTATGAGTTGGTGGATAACCACCATACCTCTTAACATCACTATATCTAATTCTATGTAACCTATACACTAAATACCATAGTTATGGGCTTGTAACTTATGAGTTGTTAATGTTTTCTTACCATTGTAAGCCTATAAATAAAAGGTCTTGTCAATATGAGATATAAAGTTGATTGAACAATTTCTATTGTCTTTCTTTACTTTCCAATTCTCTCCAATTTTTCCCTTAGTTATATAACATTTTAATAATTAATTAAATTATATTGCGGTTTATGTTCTACCGCATGCATTATTTGAATATGCGGAATTGAAACCGCAGTCATATATTGCGATTAGTTCTATAAACCACATGTTACAATCAATTTTCGTAATATGACCTTGGTTGATATTTGCAATTTTTTGGTCTAAAATGCCAGCCTGAATCCAAACTGCTTAGCCCGTTTCTCCCAAATTAAATAAGATGCAAAGGGACAACGCCTGTCCTTGTAATGTCAATCCAACTTGCCGCTGCCAAACCAAACCAAGCTCAATTTCAATTTGTTCAGTTGTCCAGTTCGCCTTCTCCAACAACCAAACATGTTAATGAACAATCCAAATAATATCCCACACCCACTTCTCTATCTCCCCGCGCTTTTCCTTCAACCATGACCCTCTTGTTTCCCGTTCTCTCTGGCCGTCTTTAAATCCTGCTAAAACCCTAGACTCCCCCCTTCCTTATCCCCGCTTCAACTTCCCATTTTGCCCAACCCAATATTCCAAATCCCAAATTTATAAAAGAAAATAAAAAACCATTGTACATCCCCCCCTTGTATGAGCGCCCTTTTGCTTTTCCACATACATATTAGCCAAAAAATTCCCCCAATTTCAAAGCTTTAATAATAATTTCGTTCGATTCTTTGCCCTGAGATTCCCATTTAGTTCTTTGGTGTTGAAATTTTCGTTCTGGGTCTTGTTCACATTCTGTTATTTGCTTGTAATTTATCGAAATGGCGCTTGAGTCTTCCATTCTGACTCTGCCTAGGTACAATTCTTGCTCGAAATCATGGAGTTTCATGTGTTGCAATAGGCAAACAAAATTTCCCATGAAGGTTTTGCTGCAAAATAATCGATACCCATTTCAATTGGGGTCGAACTGCATTGGTAATAGTGGTTTTAGGAGCTTCTTAGGTCCAAGATGTGAAGGAGTTGACTTGTTGGTTAATAGAGCTCGTTTGCAAGCTCTTGCTGATGATAATGAGAGTTCGGGCAGTGCAGATGCTGTTTCGGGTTCAAAGTTTGATTTTGTTAAGGAATTGGTTAAGTGCGGAATTGTTTTGGCAGCCATGGTTTGTGGGGTTTTAATTTATGGGTGCAGAAGAGCTTTTGCGGTGGAGGGTGATTGCAGGTTCTTCAGCTCTTCAAAGAGCAGGGTTTGATTTTGGCTTTGCTTTTGGGACTCTCAGCGTTTTTCTCAATGGCGGAGACTTCGATTACCACACTGTGGCCCTGGAAGGTATGAATTTGTTATGTTCTGTGAATGCTTATATCATAGGCGTTGTGAAAGATTGCTTTTGATTTGTTTGGATGACGAATTTCTTGTCCACCTCTGGACATTGCACTCTTTATGACTCTTTTTTAATGAAGTAACTTACAACTAAGCCATTTCTGATGATGTTCGAAATGATAAACTGTAAGTGTAAGTTTTTATGTTACTTATCCTTTTAAGTTATGGGTAATTTGACTTAACAATGGAGGAACACTGTATATTCGTCAATGCCAACTTTTTATCATTCATTAACATTTTTGGGCAGGTTTCCATGTCTGGTTTTATATCCTTGTACCCTGAAGTAGAGTTAGACTCTTGTTCTCTATAGATTGTAGTGGAAATTACATTTTTGACCTTGGAATGCAAAGCATCCTTTCTTAAACTTGCTAATTTAACAGACTTGATTTCATAAACGAGGGTTAAAAGTATTTGTGGTTAGCTTTTTAAATGACCTCCAAATAATATGGAATTAAGGACCTTAATATATTATGGCTTTCTTCTTTTTCAGTGCTTATGTGTACATAAAATTGTAACTTTGAAATGTGCATATCCATTTTTCAGTAAATGATCAACCTATTAGCTTACTGCAAGAAAATGAATGATCTGACCCATTAGGATCTTGAAATAACATCAGTTAATTGATATTAATCTGTGTCAGGTGCGTGAGTTAGCTGAGAAAGAGTCTGAAGATGGTGTCTTCAAATTGCTTCGCAATGATGTTACTCGGTTCTTAACAACCATACTTATTGGAACAACGTACTTTCCTTCTCATTTTTGTTGCTATTAATTTTTCTACTCTTCCATCGTGAAGTTGAACATTTCTTTCTTATTGTAGAATTTCCTTGTGTACTCAGTGTTGTCAATATTGGAGCAACTGCTTTAGTTACAGATGCTGCAACAGCAATATTTGGTGAAGCTGGTGTTAGCGCAGCAACTGGAGTAATGACTGTATGTTTCATTTTCCTTGCTTGATCTATTAATAAGCATAGATATGGAGGTACAGAGTTTGATATAGGGATAAGTATTTTGGACATTCAAACTTTAAAACATCCTGTTTAGTGCTTAATTTATGTCTGTTTTTGTTCTTTTCACCGTACCCTTTTTGTATCAGCAAACTTCTAATAACTTCTAATAACTAGTATTATGTAGTCTTCACTCAGTAATCTCAGAAAAAATATTTCTACGATTGCCCTTTTGTCTGGAAACAGAGGGGGCAGGGGCTTAAGAAACTCCTTTATTAAAAAAAATGGATGTCTTTTCATTTTGTATAAAGTACAGTTTTTGTTTCTTTTTGAGTGTGTACCTGCACTCTCTCTCTTTCTCTATCTCTGTGTCTAGATAGAGAAAGATTTATTCACTAAACTCATAGTTCTGAAAGAGTCTAATTTGTTTTATTAAGTGAAATTGAAGAAGAGAATGCTATTTCTACTGTGTTGAGTCTGGCTTTTGTTGAAAAGTTGTTATTTTAGATGTAAGAGCAAAATCAATGTTCTGTCTTTCCTCTCCTCATTTCTTATCAAAGGCCAGAGGCTGCATATACATATATAAGAAAATAATGTACTAGTGGGACTAATATTTAATACTGTTTATTTATCTTGGCGATGCAAGGTTGCTATTTTGCTCCTCACTGAAATAACTCCCAAAAGTGTCGCTGTTCACAATCCCACAGAGGTTGCTAGGTTTGTGGTAAGTTAGAAACTGTAGAGTTTCTCTAACTTCTACTAAAACCCACATGACCACTAATTAGACATCTTTGTCTTTTTCTTTAGACTTTTAGTTATGTTAACTCATTTTTTCTTAACTGATATTATTCCTGCTTGTCTTGATTAATTTGGTCAATGTTGGGTGTGATGCCTCTAGGTTAGGCCAGTGGCGTGGCTCTCATTGGTATTATATCCTGTGGGAAGAGTTGTTACATATCTATCAATGGGGATGCTAAAAATACTCGGGTTGAAAGGAAGAAGGTTTGCTCTTTTGATAACCCAAATTTGAATTCTCCCTAACTTCTAATTTATGTCATATTTTTTTCTTTTGCTGCATGTCAATAATCCAGTTGGTGCTTGGCTGGTGCTGATTGACAATTATGGTTATTAGCTCTTTGTGCTTATGGACTTAATAGTTCGCATTATAATTTAAATAATATTGTGTGTCAAAGGGTTAAGAAGGATGATAGAGATAGACTATGGGTTAGGGCTGGGGTCGGTTTGGACCCAAAACATGCATCAAACCGGGCTAGTTGGTTTGCCCAAATTCCAAACTGAAACTGAACTAACTGGGCTTCTCACCGACCAGGTCTAATTCCTTCATCACAGTGTATAATATCTTGGGCTTCTCTATCATTACCAAAATGGTTCTGGGTGGGATGCTCTAAATTTAACATGGTGTCAAAACCAGCGCTCCATGTGTCTGGTCCAACAACCACACACACTCCATATCTTCAATATAATTGATCCACGTGTTTGGATCAGTCTTGCCACACGTGAGTGGCGTGTTGAGAATATAGAATCCCATACCAGAAATTCTAAGCCATGCATAATAATATGTATGGTCTTGGGTCTCTTCACCTAGCCAATTGGTTGTGGGTTAGATGCATTAAGTTTAACATAATCTTCCGACTGTTATCTCATGTGTTTCTTGATAGTAAGCGGAACATCTACCATGTTAGAGTATTGTGAAGGCTATCTTTCTTTTAACCTGATAAATACATAAAGGTGTTGCTTTCATTTTATGGATAAGAGAGAATTAGATATATGGAATATTGAACTTGTACCTGTTAATATTGTTTCCGGATGTTTTTTGGTTACTATGAAAATGTTCTTGAAAATTATGCCTTTGTTTTACACCTTTTCTATGATCAGTGAACCATATGTTACTGAGGAGGAGTTAAAACTGATGCTGCGTGGGGCAGAGTTAAGTGGGGCAATAGAGGAGGAAGAACAGGTACTTGAATAGTTTTTGGTTTCCCATAAATATTTTATTCTGCTGCATTACTTCCAAGTTACAAAAGAAATATTCATTTTCTGAGTATAATGAAGAAAATCCATGTTATCAGCTCTCAACTCAATGCTTCTGTCATCAAGTATTCTATTGTTTTTTCAATATGTTTCCACCAAATCTTTATGTTATATGTGAAGATTTAATATGGCAGGCATTTTGCTGTTATCCCATCTTTGATGAGTGAAATTCTTCCTAAGAAATACATTTTGCGAGATACTGTTTGACTAGTCGAGGTCCTGTTGTATATGGAGAGGAGAGACAGTGGGGTGGGGATGTAAAAGTAATAAGTTCAAATTATTGGATTTATCAAGGCACTTGAAAGAGTAGCTAGGCTGTTATTGACACCCACAGCTTTGTTTGGGACGTGAGGAATTTTTAGTAACACTACAATCTATCTTAGAGAAATTTTTGTGCATAAAGAGAAAAATGTTTGTTTCTGGATTAACTTCCACATGGAATTTCTCCATGAACTTCAGTTTCAAAATATCTCTGTTTATATGTGTGTATATACGATAATGCTCTTTTGCCATATCTACGTTAAATTATCAATCTGGATCATACTTTTAAACAAGAATATACCTGGGCAGCGGTGTGGATGCCAAACTGTCTGGCATGTTATGGTACTCAGCTATTAATCTGAACCATTGATCAGGTGGAATCATGCTTTAATGTCTGTTCCTATTTGACTGTATGACAACATAACTTGACAGTATTTGGCAAGAAGACATTGCCTCCTTGTTGTGTTGCCAGACTGTTAATATGAACAAATTATTAGGTCGTGTTATGCCTGAAGGGGTGGTACTGATTTACAGCATAGCAAAAAAAAAAAAAAACATTCCAGATATCTGGCAAAAGAAGACATTCCCATTTATATATGCGCATGTGTGTATGTGCGTCATCTAGCCAGTCCATAGCCATTTTATTTCTCCTGTTTTGTAGAATATGATGCTTGTCATGAATATGAAATTCCAACATCTTTGTTCTCTATAATAACACTTGTGCTCCTTTCATCATCCCACAACTACCCCCATCCCCCCTTTTAAGTTTATTAATTGTAAAGTTTTGTGCTCGAAGTTCCTTATTTAAGATACACTTTTTATTGGAAAAATAAATCCTTTTGCAGGATATGATTGAAAATGTGCTGGAGATAAAAGATACGCATGTTAGAGAGGTGATGACTCCTCTTGTAGATGTAGTTGCCATCGATGCCAGTGCAACACTAGTTGATTTTCACGACTTGTGGGTAACTCATCAATATTCAAGGTAATCCAAAATTTTAGTGGTATGGTGAATAATTCTTTAGCGCCTTCAGCTGATAATATTTTTAACATTCTTCTTATAGGGTGCCTGTTTTTGAGCAGCGTGTTGACAATATAGTAGGAATTGCATATGCAATGGATCTATTGGATTATGTTCAGAAGGTCAGACAGTTTGGACTCCTATTTATCTCTCTATGAGATGCATATTCTTTGTTTATTAATTGAATAAAAAAATCTCATAGTGCGCAGAACTGTGAATTTGTTTGATTTTTAAGGGTGAGCTACTAGAAAGTACTACTGTCGGGGATATGGCTCAGAAACCTGCTTACTTTGTGCCTGGTAATTCTTTGTATTATGCTAAGTTCTGATAAACACATGTATTCTAGATTGGATATTCATTGTATATTGCTCTCTCTTAATTTTCTTGTACATTTATTGCAGTTATAATTCTGACTTGTATACTTTATAAACAAAACCATTTCTGGAAATAAAATGGTTCAATGGAACTGATGTCCCTGGGTGGTGGTTTCTTAACTGATTTGGCAATGTCTATAACATTTGCTGGGTTTTGGTATTGGCCCCATTCCAGCAAAGCCTTGGGGATTGCGTTAAGGTTTAAATCCTTTGGGGTCCACCCATCTGTCTAATCTGTTGTCTGGTACATTGAGTTCCAAGTGCTCTATTCGCTGTAACAAATTTTATTTAGGTCATGCTCATAATCAGTAGGAGTCATTGAATGAAATGTATGAGTTCAGGACACTGGAGCTGATGTTGCTGCATGATCCTAGGCCAAGTGATTTGTAAAGTTTTGCCACCATTACTTTACACTTCTGATTGTGTTATTTAACATAGTATCAAGTTGGTGCTGGACAGCCTGTTAAGCAGTTATAGGCGGTTCATGGTTGAAGTTGTCTGTACTTTTTGGAGTTTTTTTTTCTTGGTTGGTCGTTTGAAGCTCCTGTTCTGATAAGTAGTGGTTACACTACTTATATTTTCTTTCCCCTGTAGATATGAAATCATTTTTTAATCAACATGATTCCATGTTAATGAGTTTGGCCTCATGCTCTCGCTTATAGTTCTAGCATTTGTTCATGCTACATGGGTCTGGTCTCATGTTCTTGTTGACAGATTTAGCAGTTTGGTCATCAGTTGATGTTTGCATAGAGCTGAATATCTTAGGATTCGTATCATTGAATCTAGGTGTGCCTTGACTGCAGCAGGCATTTGTCTGTCTTCATTGGGAACAACAGTGTACACCATCCAGTTCTTAATTTTGTTTTGGACTGATTATGGTCCTTAATTTTCCAATGCATAAAGTAGTATAATCCATTTTGCAGATTCAATGTCTGTCTGGAATCTTCTTAGGGAGTTTCGCATCCGAAAGGTTCACATGGCCGTGGTTCTTAACGAATATGGTGGAACTGTAGGGGTATGTTCTTCATTCGTCGTTGAATTAAACTTCTGATGTTTTTGTTAAAAATTCACCATGTTGCACAGCATGTCTCTAACTTGTTTGTGATGAAACAGATAGTAACCCTGGAAGATGTCGTTGAGGAAATTGTTGGTGAAATATTTGACGAAAATGATTCAAAAGTAATTCTCACTACTAGTGTTTATACTCATTCATCTACCTTTTTTTTATGAGTAATTCAATAATTAAAGCACAAAGGGGGCACAACCCATATGCTGGTATGCATAACAAAAAATTAGTGCATTAGAATGCTACAAAATCAAAGAAGGGTTTTTTGGTCAGACAAGTGAAAAACGATTTTCTTTGTCCCAGCGAATATAATGCTTAAGAAATGAGCCCTCACTTACTGGGAGATCTTCTAACCCCTTAAATGAGTGCAACTCTTTTAGAACCATAAACACACAAAACTATTGTTCTCAATATAATTGGTAATGCTAATATTTTGGAAAAAGAAAAATCCGTTGTGATGGCTGGTTGATATCATCATATTTTTAAATTTCTTACTGAAATTATTGATGCTGGACCAGGAGGAGATTCAGAAAAAAACTGGCTACATTGTAATGCGTGCAGAGGGTATATTTGATGTGGATGCAAACACATCTATTGACCAGCTCTCTGAAGATCTAAACGTGAAGATGCCTGAGGTATTTATCCTTGCGAGTGTAAAATCCTGAATATTGATTTTGAAATTTATCTATAAGTGATCACACCATACCTATTCTCTCCGCACCTGTCTATTATGACCAGCCAAGGGAAATCTATCCTACTCAATATCTTCCATTTGATTAATTAATTAGTTTGCTATAATGGTTCTATCCGTTGACATTGAGCAGTAGAGCATTCTCATCTATTCTGGATATATGCTTTAATCGTTGTCATATTTTATTGCAATGGGATACAACTAGACCATACCATGTAGCTGTTATTTATTTATTTTAATAAATAGAAAAATATTATAAATCTAGAAAGCACCTAGGCCCTGTGGGGGCACAACCCTAGTACCCAATAAATGTTCAGCCTTGCACACCTTATGTCTGTTGGGAAACAAAATTTGCAGCACTGTGACAGCACATTCGCAAAAGAATTGGCAAAACTCCAGAAACTCTAAACAAAGAAAAAACAGAAAACCACTTCTCCAAAGCCACTGTGCTGTGAATATCAAATGATCAACAGATTCAAGAGAACTCTTGCATGAGAAACAACTATTAACAAGAAATTGGCTGTGTTTCATATGGTAGTCAAAATCTTCTGATGAAGAGCTGCCCACATTTGAAGTAGCATTTCTTATCCACAGTTAATATTACAGAGCTGATTTTCATGTTTGGAGTACAGGTTTATGGGTATCGTATATTTCCTCCGTTTAAATACATGCATGTTTTGAGGGCCTTGTAGCCCAAGTGGTTAAGAGCTAAGAGCGTTTACCCCTGTATTAGATATCCTATGTTTGAATCTCCCATCCCCCAATATCACTTGTATAAAAAAAACACAGGCATTAACCCTCAGCCATTCTTCAGAGAACATTAGAAAAATAATACAAATTTATAAATAAACCCAATCCTAGACATGTATTTATAAAAAAACCCAAGCACTATTTAAACATAGAAACACACCCAAAATCAACCCCAAAGTCAACTTTTTGGGTGTGTTTATAAATGGGTTTTGAGTGTGTGTAATGATGGGTTTTGGGTGTGTTTATATGTTTAAATAGTGCTTGGGTTTTTTTATAATTTCAACCCCCATTTTGGGTGTTTTAGTGAAACTCCCTACTTTGCAAGAGCTCATTAATTTCTGCTCATTATTGATAATCAAAGCATAAAGTAATACAGAAGATTTCTTTTCCCAATTGTGATCTGTTTTCGTTTTCAATGTAGACATTTTAAAACGTATCGGTATTATGCATTGAATTGTATTTAGCATTGTCCATCAATTTTGGCTTGTACATTATCTCTCACCTTTCACTTCTTGTTTACAGGGTCATCAATATGAAACAGTATCAGGGTTTATATGTGAGGCATTTGGATATATCCCAAGGACGGGGGAGAGCATCAAAGTAGTCCTTGAAAAGGAAATTGAAGAGGAGATTGATGAGTCCAAGTCTGACAACCAGGATAAAAAAGATAAAAAAGATAAAAAAGAAAAGCACCAAATTTTTAAAGTTGAGGTATGATGAATATTTTGCTCCATTTAGTTCTTTGCATGTGTTAAATTCTAGATGATCTTGAGTTGGTCAATCATGTATTTGATGGTGGGCTGGGGGAGATTTGGTATGCCTTGGATTATTTAGCATTAGAAAAAAAAAAAAAAAAAAAAAAAAAAACTTATCCTTAATTCATACAAGAGTAATATCAGTGTTGCTATTGTTCTTTTGGGGCAGATACTAGCAGGAAATGCCAGAAAGGTCGGTTCTGTTCGATTTGAAAGGATAGAGAATGATGCTGCGACAGTGGAGACCAAAGAGGTGACCCGCTTGGTTCCCAAAATCATGAAAAGGAAGTGGAGTAATGATCACGACTCAGATGGGACAGAGTATGACGAGGATTCATTTCAAAAGAAACCACAGAATACAATATCTGATGAACATGAAGACAATGTTGATAATCTCAGTATACATTAGTTGCATTGCTCGCGATTCCCTTTTTAACGGAATCATAGAAGAGGTAAAGATTGAGTAACAACGAAAATCAGGAAAGAATATTGTATAAAAAAAATCATTTGAGTGCTGAAATTTTCAGTTTTGCCTATCCTGATACATGTCTGGTATTCGAGGACTATAAGTTTGCCAACTGGATTCTTATGATGTTGACATCAATATGTGGTAGGTAGAGAGCCAGCTTTAAGGGAGATGGCCTAGGTGGAGTAGCTCATTTATTCCCTCACCGCATGGAGCTTCCAATTTTGTTATTAGCCTTGAGCCCCCTCTACTGTCAAAAGTTCTAAACCTAGATGTGGATGTAACTCGTCGATATGACTGGGGATGGCTCTTTGAAAAGGCAGAGGTTGTCTGTATAATAATATGTTCTGAAATCATTCAATTATCTTCTAAGGCAGGGTTTGCAGGACCTTTTTTCTTTCTTTTTCAGGCAGCCATGAAATGATGATTGTTTGAGTTGTTTGAGCCAGCCAAGTCATAAAACAAGTTTGATTTGCAGTTTGTGGTTTTTATGGAATGTAGGGTTTCAAAATATCAATCTCATGTCGAATCAACACCAGGAAAATAGTATACAACTTGGGCTGATGGTTCCGAAGCTTTTCCCTGTCAAAGTACAATCAAAATCGGTTGCATCACATTAAGAAAAAAAAAACAATGAAAACTGTGGAATCTTGGTTATTAGCCATTGGAAGTTATTGCAAGTGTCCGCAGCGTAAGAGAAGAAAAAGAACATGTTGAATTAAGAATATCATTCTATATCATTTCTTTTTCCTTTATACATACATAATTTTACTTGGATCACTGGAGGGTCCATTTGAATCTCTCTTTGTATGTCTTTTGTTATTTGGTTTTTTGTTTTCATTTCTGACCTAGGAAAGAAATCTAAACTTGAAAATCTCTTCCAACAAAGTCGAAAGATTTACCACTATCCGTATTCGTGAATTGATCATTTTAATCACATTTTAATCACATGTACTACGTGTATGTAATTTGTATTGATTCACGTGATTATGGCTTGTTTCTTTGTCACATTTCTGATGGCATCTCTTGTTTATCTACGTTGATGCTGAGATTATCATTGCTTAATCCTGCTTCTTTCTTTTCTTTCCAAAAACTAACAGATATGGGTGGAAATTAAGAATTTTTTTTATGGGACGATCTCATAATTTTAGTGTGTTCATAGATTAATCTAAGGGCCGTTATTAAAGAGGACCTCACAAGGCCTCATTTTTAGGTCCTTAGGTGAGCGGGACTATTTCTAATATGTTGTCTATGTTATAGATATTTCCCCTTTTTTCTTCTATGATACTTCCTTTTTTCCCTCCTACCTAACTAACCCTCTAAAGCTCACTCGTCATCTATCATTTATCTATTTATCAATTTTTAATGCAATCTTTATATGTGCAATTCCCTTAACATTAGGGGATATTTTCATGTTCTTTTGTACATAATTTTTTACAATCTGTCTGGTAGTCTTGTGTGATTCCAACTTATAATCGGAGAGAAGTTAGACAAATAGCTAGTTAGTCCATTGTTTGTCAACTTGATCAATGAGGACACAATGTTGGTCAGCATGGAGCTAGGTAATTGCTTTTTTTTTCTTTCTTTTTTTCCAGAAATCATGCAGAGGAAAGAGCGATTAAACCTTACAGAATATGATTGGGATCCATTCGCAAAGAGACCAGATCAGACTGGACTCTAAAAGGAACATAAGATACTGATCATGATCCTCCTCGTACATACTGATTAATTACATTGCTAATGCTTCTCCCATATAAGTAATAGATCTAGCTACCAAAAAAAAAAAAAAACAAGAACAGAACAAGCGATTAACATATATGCTTCTCCCATAAACCCTAGAAGTTTTTCAAAGGTGAAGTGAGGTGTCAACATCTGAATCATCGAAGTTGTTTGTTCTGTTCATGACCGATACTGAACTTGAACATATGTTTCCCAAGACTTGACTCTCATCATCAGAGACCTGCAGAAAATTAGCATCCTTGCTCTGCAAGTTAGGTTTGTGGTACATTGAGCCTTGGGGAGGTGGCTTATAATGAGGATCTGTCAAGCCACCAGAGCCACCAGATTGGAAGAACAACCCAGTTGGCTCATAATGTGTGGCTGGAACGTTAATTCTCTCCGATCCAGATAACATCTGCCTCAAGAGCTCTCTCTCCTCCCTCATCTCCTTTGCTCTCTGCAATTGCCTAAACCTCTCTTGCAATAGGACAATGGAAGAATGAGCAACAGTGCCATCAAGTCCTTGCCTAGCCATAGAGAGAGAGGGATGTATAATTAACTTTCAAAGAGACTGTTCAGACTGCCTTTTGAGGTGGCAATGGGGTTGCATTGCTATATATATATAGGACATGGGCAATTTTGTAAATGTGTATTTTATATTCAAATGAGGCTGCTATCTAACTGATTCTAATGATGTAAACAAAGAAAGAAGTATCAGCAGCTGTGATGCAAAATCCAAGAAGGCAAAGCCTGGTGACTAAATATTCTCATAAGTTGGGGTTGGTGAATGTGAGGAAAGGCAGCAGAAAGGCTCGATAGGGAGAAAGTGTTGGGAAAGAGAGTCCAAATGGTCATGTAAGGTAGCTTTTGGATATCTTTTTTGGAGGAATATATGGATGGGCGATGCTTTGTCGGCTTGTCTCCAAGAGTTGTTGATGCGGCTTTGGAGAAGATGTTGCGTCTTTTGGTGAGGCTTTGGTGGGATTTTGTTATTCTTTATGAAAAATATTTGACTTCATCTTAGGGTCATTTTCTCCTTAATCATACCATAACACGTGTATTTTGGGTTGAGAACTTGAGTACAAAAAAGTGGGCTATAAAATATCGAACAGACTAATTTTTGCTGGGATGAGTAAATATTAGTACGAAGTACTGAGGTTGGATACCAAGGGAGAAATTGGTACAATAACTTGTGGACACACACTTCTCGATGATGGAATCCACCGCAGACAATCAACGAGGGACGGTCATAATAAAGTTTAGTTTTGATTTTCAAATATGACACTTTCCATTCAAACTTAAGATGGTGTATTCAATTCATACTTACAAAAACTTGTTTTGTAGGTAAGATCATACAAGATTTTTTTCCAATATTTTTTTGCACATTCTCTTTTCATTTTTCCGATATTTTTTTGCACATTCTCTTTTCATCTTTGTAGAGTACAGACAATGAAGTAGAGGGTGAGGACGTGGGGAAGGGAGTTGATAGAAGAAAATTAATATTGGGGTGACTGATTTGAATTTGATTGTTTTGTACCTTTTTTCTAGAAAGGAGAGAAAGAGAACCTACCAAAGGGCACAATTAATCTGTACAAGAGACCCTATCCTCTCCGCCCCCCATCCCCCCTCGCCCTTCTCTCTCTTTCTATTAACTTTCTGTTTTGTTTTCAAGTTGTTGGATGAAAATGCATGTGGCTGTTCCTGTTTGATGGTTCTAATTAACGCCAGGAGCCCCTTTCGTTAGCCGTCAAAAGGGAAAAACAAATCAAGTAACAAAGAGCCAATATAATACAAGTGGCGCGTGCCTATGGCTATGTAGGTATAAATAAATAAAATAATGTTGCGGTTTAGAAAATTTAGGGTTTGATTGGCTACTCATAAATAAAATAATGTTATGGCAGCTTTTGTGTAGTATTTTGGTAAAAGAACATTATCTCTATAGGGCACAATCTCAAGGTTGCCAAACAGAAAAACATTCCTCTCCAATGCATTATCCCAAAATTTTGTGAAGCACAATGCATTAAAAAGTTGCTAAGCATGCTTTTGAATGAGTTTATTTTGTCGATGTAATGTTAAACTTTTGGTTAATTTATAAATTAATGCGACAATTTGGGTTGCATGAAAGGAGCAAAGCTTGTCAATTATTGGACTTAGAGACACATTCATCGATCGCAAGATTTCTATATGAAAAGGACAATTGGAGGTTCAAACATTTAGTCCAAAGTCCGATTCATAACGTGACACAAGTAAGAAGATGGAAGCATATATCTTATCATATATGCCCACGGTGCATCTCCTAGTGCTTTTATAGGGGAATTATGATTTGAAAATGTAAGTATATAACTTTGATCAATATTTTTTTGGGTTAATCATTTTATTAGTTCCTGAATTTAGACCTGATTTGTATTTGAGTCTCTCAATTTCCAAAATTGTTCCGTGGTCTTTCAACTTCAGTTTCGTTAAGACAAATGGTCTTGCCGTCAATTTTATCAACTTTTCGGGTAAATTACTCAAATAGTCCTCAAACTTATACTCGATTTACATGTTGGTCCCTCAATTAAATTATTCATTCCAAAGGTCAATCAACTCTATATTATTCGCTCCATTAGTCCTACCATTATATTCTGTCAATATTTCCAATTTACCCTAAAATTAGGTTAAATCTAACAAAAAATTAGACAGTAGGACCATTGAAGCGAATAATATAGAGTTGATGGACCATTTGAATGAATAATTTAGTTGAGAGACCAAAATATAAATCAGGTATAAGTTTGAGGACCATTTGAGTAATTTACCATAACTTTTCTGTTAAATGTAGGGGCAAAATGGTATTTTTGTATTAAATTGATTAAAAAATTTAAAATAATTAAAAATAAACCCCCCCCCCCCCCTTTCCTGTCCCGATTTCTACTCCCCACAAACTTGAATTTTTTTTTTCGGTTTTTTTATTTGATTTTCTCTTATTGTTATTTTAAAGATATGATTTTTTATTCATTTTTCTAATATAAAAATACCATTTTGACCCTGCATTTAACAGAAAAAGTTAACAAAACTTGATGGCAGGACCATTTGTCCTAACGAAAGTAAAGTTAAAGGACTACGGGAACAATTTTGGAAATTGAGAGACTCAAATGCAAATCAGGTCTAAGTTCAAAGACTAATAAAACGATTAATCCTTTTTTTTTTTTAACTATTAAAACCAAGTGCTTTAATTGGATTGGTGCGTGCTGGCCTTTGGCCCACCCCTAATTTAGCATTAAGATAATATACGCTGTATTTTATTTTGTGAAGCTTGAGGTGGGATTTTACTTGAAAGAGGTGTTAAGGGCCACAGTTTGCTTAGTCACTGTGAGCCGACCAATATTGAAGTGATGCTTGAAGGAGTTATGAACTCTTGATTTTTATAAACCATGCGGCCCACTGGTCTGCTGGGCTTTAACCAGTTTTAAGTACCAAATAGCAATTGCTCAAACTGAATAAATGGTAACGCTTTGTAGAAGCTGCAGGCCCATCGTGGCCTTGGGAAAACACACAAGTTGTTTCATCCACACGAGTCGTTTACACGAAAGAAACTAGCTTCAACGCACATGTTGCTTCAAAAGTTTCCATTTCATGTCATACACGTCAAATAAAGGAAAGACCAACCAATTCTCTGGTATAAGGCTCCTAGCCCATCAAGAAATACAAGACCTATTCTAATTGCACTGTTATGAGGTGTTCTAATCGATTAAACATAAGGAATTTGTTGGAACAAGAATTTTTGTAAAACACAACTTCCCTTTTGAACCAAAAAAACACCAATTCTAATGAAGTTTTTAATCAATACAAATACCTAGATCTCCTATGATGATTAGAAGACCACGTTAAAGCGATTTAGGACATAAAATATCTAACACCATATGCATTAAGGAAAATAAGGAAATAAAGTGAAAATACCTAAAGGATAACTAAAAATGCCTAGAGAGGGGTCATTAGGCCAATTTAAGATTATAATCAATAAACAAAAATTAGACTTGGTAGCAGGATTGATATGGTTTATTAATCCTGAAACGTGCTGAACATAAAATAAAGAAACACACAGAGAATATTTTTACGTGGTAAAACCCCACTTCTGGGAAAAATTCATGGGACTCCTCAGTCCAACACACATTCACTATAGAACGATAATTACAAGAAGTACTCACACACTTATCCTAGACACATTCTAGATAATGTTTACCGACTTCTTCGTAACTCAACTTCTGTCACGAGATGATCTTCAACACTCCTTATGTTGAACACAATACTGGTCACGATTGCTTCAAGCTCGCTGTAGTTCTTCCAACTCACCTTATGTTGAATCCGATACTGGTCACGATCAATTCAAGCTCACCGGAGAAAAACCACCACAACGATCTTGATGCCCTCAACCGTATAAGTCATAGACATGCATATGAATGCAATATGAATGATTAAAGTGTTTGATAAATCACCAAGTAAACATGGAACACTTGATGATTTATCTCAAATAAATGCACATCAACTTTTTCCTAAGACTTCTATATGCCCCACACAAATATGTCAAAAGCTGTATCAAAACCAAGGAGAAGCATGCTTTTTTTTTAGGGAGTTTCACTAAAACACCCAAAATGGGGGTTGAAATTATAAAAAAACCCAAGCACTATTTAAACATATAAACACACCCAAAACCCATCATTACACACACTCAAAACCCATTTATAAATACACCCAAAAAGTTGACTTTGGGGTTAATTTTGGGTGTGTTTCTATGTTTAAATAGTGTTTGGGTTTTTTTATAAATACATGTCTAGGATTGGGTTTATTTATAAATTTGTATTTTTTTTATTCAAAACTTCGTATGCCTAGTCAGATCGCAACCCACGAGTACCAAACCCACTTCAATTATTACTATCAACTTTTAACTCAATCTGGACTCTTGTGAAGGAGTAATTTTTGGGAGTTCCGGGTACACCACGTGGTTGGTGTACCATCCAATAGACGAAAAACATATGGAATATTTGCAATGCAACCCGCCACATGTTATAAAAAGAACTGCAGTAAGTTAGACAATAATTTCACATGTCCTATGTTTATTGGATGGTACACCAGCCATGTGGTGTACCTGGAACATATAAAAATTTCTCCTTATGAAGACCCCAATCAAGAGACCACAAATAGTATTCAAACATGAGTATTAGTTCAATTTGGATTCTTAGTGAAAAACGCCAACCATCCAATTTTTAATTTTAAAAAAAAACAATATCTATTAAAACAAATGAATTAGACCAATCAAGTAGGAGATGATTTTCCACCACACACACACACACACACAAAAAAGAAGTAGGAGATGATTTCAACGCGCAAGTCATAATAGGAAAATATAATATTTTAACTTAAATCAAAATAGAGTTCAACTAGAAAAGTAATCTTAAAAGATAAAATCTAATCCTATTAAAAATAGGATTAACATAAAAATACTTGATTGAAAATAACTCAAACTAAGAATCGTATAATGAATGCATGATTATGTCATGATTTACCTGAAGTCGCGTTTCTCATATCGGTCAAGTCATGCCTCGGATGTATGAGGTTAAATGAGTTGTGCCAAAACATCCAGTAACAATTCTTCACACACTAATTTTTCAACCTATGCTAGAGTCTAGGAAATGACAATACAATTTTCATACTAACATAAAGTAAATATTATAGTCTAGAAGGATATCTACATAATATTCCGTATTTCACATTAGTGATGTGTTACGTAGATCTTGTGTAGTAACGTCTAGCAATTTGAGAATCCAGAAGTCAACTTCAGCAAAGAAATTCCTTCCCAAGTCTTTCTTAAGTATTCGAGATCTCCTCAAAGCATCAATTTGGAATTTGAAATATTACAAGCTAATTCGACAATTATCTGAAAATAATAACTTCTATTAAATACTAAACATGTATTATGTTGTCAAACCGTTAATTTATTAATGTACATCAAAGGAATCCATTTCACAAGATAACATTTATCTGGCCATCGTACATATCACAAAATGGTGCACATACTCCTTGATGGTGGGTCGTGGATGCAGAATTCCAACTGAGGATGGTGAGAACGAGTTTGTGGTTTTGCACGTGCATTTTCGGCTTTCTTTTACTGTTTAGGTTCAACTTTCTTCACATCTTTCTTTTCAGTAATTTCTTCCACACTTACCAAGTCTGCATAGCCAAGCTTCTTCCTCAACGACTTGGCCATGTCCGCGGCATCAACTCCCTCTCCAGTTATCACCATTTTGTCTCTGTTGGGTCCCTGGAAAGCCACTGATGTTACACCTGCAACATCAAAATTCAAAAACAAAATTATCAAACTAATTAAACAAATCTCCCATTAATATGAAAGAAACATATATGTAGTTTCAAAATATGAAAGGCACCATCTTCCGCAACAGCTATCTTCATGGCCTGAGACCGACATTTATCGCATCGAATCTGCGCTTCAATGGTTATCTTTTGCTGCAGGTCATGCATCCAACCAAACAAATATGTCAGAATCAAACCATGGACTAAATACACACATTTTATTTCTATGTGTTATTAGAAAATAAAACCTTTGAAAAGAAAAATTAAACTAGCGTTTCTTTCTTTTTCCCGACAAAATCTTTTCAGAAAGTAAGAGAAGAACATGAATTGTATGCTTCTGGGAGAAGTGGTTTACCTTCATATTGTCCGCTAGTACACCGAACAAAATTAAACTTTGGGGTTTCCAAGAAGAACGTATGGATGTTCTAATTCTGTGAGAATGTGATGAAGTTGAAGACCGAACTGAGTGTCGTTTTCATAACGTCAACCCTTCTAAAACGGCAGTGGCAGCTAAGCCTACACGTGATTATCTTCACTAATTGAGTTTTTAAGGAACAAATTTGGGGATCTATCCACGTTTTGTTGCTGTCCAATCAGATTAAGCCAAAAAAATTAGCTAATTAATCTTTGTTAATTTGATTTAAGACTGGATTTACAAGTCAAGTTTCAAGTCAATATAAGAAGTATTGTAATGGAAGTCAGCATCGCTAGTCGTTTTTATAACGTCAACCCTTCTAAAACGGCAGTGGCAGCTAAGCCTACACGTGATTATCTTCACTAATTGAGTTTTTAAGGAACAAATTTGGGGATCTATCTACGTTTTGTTGCTGTCCAATCAGATTAAGCCAAAAAATTTAGCTAATTAATCTTTGTTAATTTGATTTAAGACTGGATTTACAAGTCAATTCTTGTAGTTTCAAGTCAATTTAAGAAGTATTGTAATGGAAGTCAGCATCGCTAGTGTGTAAGCAATAATAGTGTTATTAAAATATTGTGAAAGGGATTAGTCAATTCGTGGCCAGCTGTTGACCTCCTTTGGGAGAGCTCCCGCAGCGAAAGGGATTAGTCACTGCTGTCGGCGGTGGACACCCTTGGGTCTAACCAAAAAAAAAAAAAAATATTGTGAAGCATCACATGTTATAGTACGACTTTATTATCAATAGTGTACGATTCAACCAAATTAAGAAAGAAAGTCTGTTCGAGCCAGGCTGATTCATATTGTTCAGGTTTCATTAATTAGTCATTAGGAGATAGAATTTAAGAAAAAGGAAATCTAAATTAAAGATCTATCGTGACTAGTTGCCATATAAAAATTGACTCATTTAATTTGGAAGCTGTTCATGCACTCCACCACAATTTATTTTTTATTTTTTAAACCAGTGCACTCCTAGAATTCAAACTTTAAAAAAAAGTGTTAAGGAAACTCATCTCTGTGAATCTTGAGCAGTGTGGATTTGGAGAAATTGTAGAATACAAATTTATAAATAAACCCAATCCTAGACATGTATTTATAAAAAAACTCAAACACTATTTAAACATAGAAACACACTCAAAATTAACTTCAAAGTCAACAATTGTATATTTTTTGGGTGTGTTTATAAATGAGTTTGAGTGTGTATAATGATGGGTTTTGGGTGTGTTTATAAAGTGTTTTGGGTGTTGGGTTTTTTTATAATTTCAGCTCTCATTTTGGGTGTTTTAGTGAAACTCCCATTGTAGAATGGTGTTTGAGTACGGTTACGATGTACACACGGTCTATAATATGGTAGATGATAGGGTTGATATTTCCCCCTTTAAAGAATAATATCAATAAATATCTACTTATAACACGTGAAGTTATATCACGTGATTGTATGATCATACTACACTATAATTAATCATGGATTTGAATTCTTAGAGTTGAAAACATAGAAAATTTTGAAGATCCGCCAAGATTAAGACAATTGAGCTATCTTCAATTACTACAATTACCCATAA